TAGATTTGCTGTCCAAACTGCTCCGGACAGCAGATTGCTGTCCAAGAACACCCCAAACAGCAGATTTTGCTATCCCAATGTCACCGAAGTTGATTTGGAAGGAAGTAGAGGCTTCCTACCTCCTTTTGGTGGAAGAAGAAAGCAAATTGAAGCAAAAGAAAGGTTCCTTTCAGTCCATGAGAGGAGAAAACAGCAACTGAGCGGAGGAAATCTCTTCTTCATTTAACCTCAACTCGAAGAAATGCTGCAGGAAGGAGAAAGTTCGGCCGGACTTGGAGAACCGGACCTGGAGGACTCGGCAGCCAAGGGAGACGGACACCTTGGGGACGTGAAGGCCTGGACGGGTCAGACGCACGAAACCCACGGAGCTCTACCGCTTCCGCCTGGATGAGGCGAGCGAACGAAACCAGAGAGCCGAACTGCTCTCTCTCCCTCTCTCCCGTGCTCTGGTTCTGGACGGAACAAAACGGGGAGCCGAATGGCTCTCCCCCTCTCCCGACCTCTCCCTCTCTGTATGTCGGGACGGAACCAACGAAGAAGCGACGGGGCTCCCCCTTCTCCCTTTCGCGCCCTTAGATGCGCACGCCCAACCAGCTTATGCCGCCAAAAACCGCCCAATCAGCCCTCACACACGTGAAAATGAGGGACTTAGGGCAAAATTTGGGATGAAATCTGAGCCATTGATCTCAATTTCTGATTTGAGAATCAAATTAAGCCCAAATTATCAAATTAGGGCTGAAATTGAGTCCGTATTGGACTCGACCCGAACCGATTTGGGTCGGTTTGGGTCCGATTGGATTCAATCAATTTAATTTCATGAAATTGAACTTGAATTGATGCTGAATTACGTCAAATTGGGCTCGACGACGCTCGACGGGGTTCGATTGGTTTTGATTTGATTTTAATTAAATTAAATTTGATTTAATTAAATTAAATTGAGGCTTAATTCGGATTAATTTCACCTCGACGATGATCAATTGAGTTGATCGAGCGCGATCGAGCTTGTCGGGCTCGATCGTGGTCGAGTCGATGCGAAAATATTCGTCAACAGCCGGTGCAGCGGCTCTTGCACACTTGTCACTGTATTCAGGCCATACAGCGCGTCGCTTCCAGGGGACGCCCTAGCATTAACACAATTTCTTAAAGGATTCATGTCATTATTGTTCGACAAGTTTTACGCTGGCTGTCAACTACCTAACGCAACCCTCCACTTTTCTCATCCAGGACTTTGCACCTGGCAACGGGAGTGTTAATTTGTGTAAAGAAAAATGCAATATACATAAAGAGGACAAGAAACATCTTTGAATGAAATAAATCTTGAAAATAATATTTATTTCAACTGATCTAGATTTAACTAGAGACTAGAAATGGAGAATTACTGTCTATAAGTAAGTGGGTTGCTGTAGATGGAAAGATGTTGTACATTGATTATTGAGTTGCTGTAAATGCAAAGATGTTTGAAATGGTCTCCCTTATGTTTAGTTTTTTGCTTTTATTTATTTTTTGTTGATTATGCCTAACTTCTTGATTAGATTATTAAAACTTTTTGTGCATAATCAACATATTTATTATATTGTACTCCAAATGAACTTTTCAATTTCTTAATTAATACACTTGGATATTTTGGTAACTCATATTTATTATGTCTACATGCTCATCTAACTTTTAGGTGATGTTTTGAACCAATGTCCTTTTAAAGACTTGTGTTTACAATTTATTGTTGATTTGCTTAATGCTTTGTCAGATTGCGATTTTCACTGTATTCTGTACATGGCGAATTGTTTCTTTCTTGTCTTGCATGCTAATAATTGTTGGAAACTTTCAGCAAAGCTCAGTGCTTCCACCATAGTAGGTGCTGTCTTAAGAAAATTCCTTTATAAAAAAAGGATGGTAGTACTGAAGGATCATTACTCTTAGCACATCATACCTGCCTGAAAGTAATAACCATTTAATCATTTCATTAAACTCTATTCTCTTTCTTCGGATTGTTTTCCTGTGGACTATAATTTGAGCATTTTTGTTGCTATTGTGGATTCCGGTCTCCTGCTAGCCAGCAGGAAGTCCCAACTTTCAGGAGTCAATTTAAGCTGTCGATAATCATCTTTCTTGGCACATTTGTACTTTAAAAAGTTGTTTTATTTATGAAGTGATTGCATGAATCTATGCTACTTATGGTCATGGGATATTTCTGGTTCATTTACATTTTAAATTGCGACACTGAACCAAAGGTCAAATTTACAGCTTCATATTTATGTCCTTTACACATATATCACCTTTTTTTTTCATCTGTAATTTTATGCTTGTGCAAGGCGAACGGAACTTTGCCAGCATCAAACATGATGTTTAGTTCGTCAAAATGAATTGAACTTTACCAGAAAACAACTAAGTTGGTCTTTTTTGTTATTCTATATTCTTTTTGAATATGAATATAATTAGCTTTCTTTACAGACAAATAATGTACACTACGAAAGACAGGAAGATATGAATGATTTAAAACGGACTCTTCCTGCTTCTTCCAACACCGAAAGGATGGAGATGCTCAATAGTATGCTCGCTACCACTCCACCCCAGCAACAAAAACAAATGCTTGGTCAACACCTCTTCCCGTTGGTTCAGAAACTCAAGGTCATTCTTTGAGCTTTTCCAATTTAATTAGTAATTGAAGAACCAATAAATAAATAAGGGGAACTATGAGAGATCTGTTTCCTCCTGATCATTTACATGAATATATTGATTTTGTGCTCCAGGCGGAGTTGGCGGCTAAAATTACTGGAATGTTGCTACAGATAGATAACTCGGAATTACTGCTGTTGCTGGAATCACCTGAAGCGCTTGCAGCAAAGGTGGAAGAGGCTGCTGGAGTTTTGGAGCTCTCCAAGACCAAAATGAGCAGCCATGGTGCTATTAGTTCTAACAATTTTTCATCTGCTGAGATTGCGGTCAATTAATTGATAATAATTCTTAATAAAAGATTTCGATGACACGATTAATAATAGATAATAAATTATGTGAAAATATTCTGATATTAATCAGAATGCGCTAAAAAATTATTAACTTTATATTAAAATTAGCAGTATTTATAAAATATTTTTATTATGATGGTCTAATAACTTTGATCAGAGTTATTCTGATACAATTTATATTAACATCGTCTATTATAAATTATTTAATAATATTTTGCATTTTATGGCTTATGATTGATTTTCCTTTCAGTTCATTTTTCTGAGACAATTCTCAATTTCCTGTTTTCAAGAACTTTTTCCGTCGGATGTTAACTGCTTTGTGTTGTAAGATTGGACAACTGATGCTATTTTTATACTCCAACTTTTTATTGAATTTTTACATGATGGTGTTTAATTAAGTACTGTTGTATTGCATTGCTTAAAATTGTTTGCACATGCTTATGGTAAACCTGTACCGCTATGTTGCAGAATAAAATTAGGTCATTTGATCATGGCCAAATATGTTCTTTTCTCTATCCTGAAGTAGTTGTTATAGTAATACCTAATGAGTGATATGCTCATTGGGATGAATAATTTTATTATATGGTTCAAAATACAATAATGGGGAAAAATATGCACGATCTTTTTGTTAGCAAGAATACTTTTATTTACAGACAGCTAATTTAGTGCAGTTAAAACTTGTGTCAGGAAATGCTTTGATAATTAAATAAATAAAGCACTAAAATATAAACAATAAACTTGAATATAAGAAATTGAAATAAGTTTATCTGAAGTGAAATGGTTTGTTTTACTAAGCCAGTTAGATGCTGGTATCAAACAACTTGGCCTTTTATTTATTTATACTCTCATTCTTATTTATTATAGTTTTATGATTGTTACTTAACTCCAATATAATAGCTATCAATTGAATCTCGTTAATAATTGGATTGGATCACTCCAATATGATAGTCATCCGGAGCCGGGAACTGAACTTGTATTAGTTAATAAATTTTATGCGCATTCTATTATCAATTTGTATCAATTCTATATTGAAGGCATAAATGTGCAACAGATAAACTAGTTTAAATTCTGGAAAATGCAAAGTAGCACATAAGACTAGCACTAAATGGAAATAATGTGTACTTAGTTTTAACAAATGGGTATGAATAATGCATTAGGCTTATCGATTCCGTCGGATATTACTAACATATTTAATATGTAGAATTTTCTTTTATATTATGCCCATAATAATAATTCAATGTAAATATAGAAATTAATTAACATTAGAAGCATAAATAGTTTGCTGCATATATTATTGCCTCAAAATTTTAATCTTTAATAAATAAATTGATAAAAATATTGATTTTTTAATTTGCATTAATTATTAATTTAAAAATAAAAAAAAATTAACCTCAAAATAATAATTTATCTCAAAAAAATTCTTCTTATTGTGGACTATAAAAATTCATGCTCTGCTCTTCTATGTGTGTTTTTAGATCATGCATGTACATGCTTATATAGTGTATTTACAAGTGCCTAATAAGTATACATGGATGGACTTATACTTAGTAGGTTATAGTAATTATAGCTTAGTTGGAACAATCACCTCGCTTTCACAAGCATTCACTAGTTAGTGTGTCTCGTTGATGTCAAATAAATTTTTTTAAAAAAAGTCTTTAATAGTAGAAGTAACAATCAATAGTAATCACATCTCAATTCATTACATCATTGATCATAGTAGAAGTAACAATCAATAGTAATAATATTAGTAACAATTTTTTACGACATGGAAGTACACTAAACTTGAACAATTCTAAACACAAAAAAAAAGTTTTTCTTTGAAGACGAGCTAAATAAGAATGACAGAGTAACCTTTTTGGAAGATGAAGCCTTTAGTGCCTGAATGTGATTAGACAGTGTGTGATATGTTTAGAATGCCGGATATACAAAGAGAATAAATAATGTTGAAGAACAAAAGTGGATGCGCAGATGACAAGTAATATGGCTCCCGAGTAATTTGAACTCCTAAAAATTCAAGGTTTGGAGAAATTATTAAAATTTCAGGCTTGGCCGGGCTGATCAAGCTGACAAAACACACAAATTGAAAAATGCAAATGAACAATCACGAGTCATGAATTCATTTGAGTTTAGAAGCATAGCTACATCCGGACTCCGCACAGTATAATTTCACTTCTTTTCAAGTATGTCACCGTTGTCGAGGATGAATCATAAAAAGAAGCAAAAAGGATTAGCGAGGCAGAATACCATTTTGAAGATATGGATATTTTTTTAAATATTGGAATTTTAAATACCATTTTTATCTAATATCTAAATAATTTTTGTTATACATATAATACTTACGTATTTAAACATATATATTTAATATTATATATATATAAATGCATAAAAAATTTATATTTTTATATTATATTTTTTTATCATCAAGATTTTGTATAACTATTTTAAAATTTAAAATTTTGTTAATTTAAACGAATTTATTTTTCAACTTAAATTTTTAAAAAATTATATATTAAGACCAATTACAAAGGTGAAGGAACTAACATCTCTTCCAAATTTTGATAAAATCTATTATTTACATAGAAATTAGTAATTTTTGTGAAATATGTAAAAAAGGGTTTATAGAGAAATTTCTCTTTAATCAAAAGCTTAATTTTGAGGCATGTGTTAATTATAAACAAATTAATATGTGTAATTAATAATCTGTTGGACTAATAAATTTTTCGGAAGATGATTGTAAAAATATTATGAGAAAAATAATTATTTTCAAGATGTTACTCTAAGAAATATTTTTTTTAATAAAAGTTTTTAATGAAAATAAAAAGAAACTAATAATGAAATAGAAACAGCCATTCTTTTTGGAACATTTAGGTCATTTAAGGCAAACATACACACACAATCATTAAAGGCAAACACACACACAACGCATACACATGGACTCAAACTTTGGACCTTTTAGTTGGAAGCCTAAGCTCTCAACCAATAGGTCAAGAGGGGTTGTGTTGAGAAGAAAAAAAAAAGTACAGAAACATTTTCCCACATACCCTAAATTTCTAAAAAACAACTAATTTCTTTATATCAACAAGTCATGAACGTCAAAACACACAGATCTCGGCAACTTCCATGATTCTAAGAACAGCCCACATGATGAATGGGCGAAAATCATTTGGGCAATGATTCTGATGTAGAACGGATGGTCAAGGGATTGCCGGCAGCGTTGCCGGCCGGCAAATTTGATGGTCCGGCAACTCCGGCCGCCTTAATCTCTAGCTCATTCTTAAGCCTCTGTCTTAAGTTTAGGAGATTCGCTGTCAATTGAAGGCCTCCTTCGAAAGTTAAGAGCGAAACGGCCGGACTTGTCTCTGGTGAGTTTATCTCTTGTAAGTTCAGTACCCGGTCTACCACTGCAAAGGCCTCCGCAGGCGAATGACGAAAGTTAAGAAGATAGTCCGCTACACTAAACGCAAATGCTAACCGATGCGGATTCATCGAATCTAGCTTGGTCACCATCCCCCAAGCTTCAGCATAGGCAGAATTAGCGATTGCAGCATCTCCCATTCCGTCCAACGCTCCCTTAACCTCTGCCATATACCAGCTGACATCTCCCTTTAAGGTTAGGTAAAAGACCTTCGATTCATTCGAAACAGCAAAGGGTAATAAACGGAAATCGATTAGCTGAACCATTTCTGCGCAGGCTCTGCAGATCTCCATCTTGGATGTGAGTAGGTAGGAGGCGGCGATGGGACCGTCGAAGTCATTTAGCCAGGATCTTGTTTTAGCAACGGCTGAGAGATGCGAGGAGCGGGCTACTCTGAGGAAGTTCTTGAATGCAGCACCGAGGAGGCAGCGTTCCTTTGGGGAGAGATCTTTGTCTGGGTCGGTGGCTTCGACGATTTCTTTCATGAATCGGAGCATGTGATCGTAGCGCTTGGCTTCTTCGGCGAGCTTAGCCTTGCGGAAAAGGATCTTTCTCCTCGCTTTGGCCGCTGATAGGAGCATTGTCGACAGTTTTGGAGCCAGAACAGACAAAGTTGCAGCGGAGATTAGGTTTGGAGAAAAGGGAAAGAAAATGGGAGGATTCTTGGAGAAGAGAATGACCTTGACGGGCTGAGGGAGGGTTTTTATAACTTTCAGTTTTTTTTTTAATTTTTAGAAACTTTTATATCTTTCTCTTAGAGGGCAGAAAAATAATAATAAATTGGAGTTTGTTTTTTCGTAGCTTTTTTATTCATTTATTTTTAAGATCATTATGTAGCCATTTGACAATTAATTTTAATAATTTATTAAAAATTTTAAAATAAAAAAAAGACTGCTGTTGTTTGATTTTTAAAAAACTATTTATGATACGATAATTTTGAATAATTAGGATTCGTTTGCGACAACTTTTTTTACTTATTTATTTATTTATTGGCACGACAGTATCAAATTGTTGTCACTCCAAGGGAGGGCTTGACGGTGTAACTAATCCCTCGATGGAATCTAACGAGGCCACCCATCAGTATCGGGAAAGTCATCTACAATCCACCAAGTACATCAAATAGAAGAAAACCTCAAACTATCAAAATGTTGAAATTTTATCCTTTTCTAAAAGTAAAATAGATACAATACAATGGGGCGTGCAATAAGCCCATTAATTTCCACGAAATTTGTATATATATATATATATATTCAATGTTGTGAAAATCATATCGTACAACGAATCGGAAAAAGAAGAGCTTCACGAGATTCGACTGTTGAACCTGGATCCAACTCCCGCTTGAGTTCGTTTGTGACGCCATCTTCCGCTCACGCACGCGACACGCCGACAAAGCCAGACAGAGCCGGGAGGCGTGAGATTACTCGAAGCTGCTCCCTTCACACAGGTAATCTACTCTTCTACTTACCCTTTTGGCCATCGCTTTTACCATTCGAGCTTCAGGCCTTTAAGTTCCTTTGCATTTTTTTGGGGGGGTTGAATACTTTAATTGAATATTGAACTGCTAATCAGCAGCATTGGTTTTTATTGAGTTTTTTTGGGTGTTTGTCTGCAAGCGTATATGATATTCAGCAGCATCAATTTTATTTTTTTCCGAGCAAGTGCAAGAGTCATTTTTAACTGTACAAACATTATTTCCTTGTGCAAAGTGATTTCAAAATTTTAAATGCCTTTTATAAGGGTCTCGTCAGGTAGAGAGGGAATTCAAGGTGGAGGAAGAAGCCATCGAAAGTTGTGTTGTATAAATTTTGAATGTTCCTTTGCTTTTTTTTTCACTGATTTTTTGTCTATGAATTGAATTGATTATTTGATTTTCTATTATTTTATATCATATATGTGTCAATAATGTGCCAATGATCGTGATGAATTGAAAGGATGTATTGTCTGTTGTTGTTGAACCTAATCTTAAGACTTCATTTATATTAAACTTGGTTAATCACGGGCTTCAGTTGTTTTCGAAGTAAAGAATTTTTTGAAAAAATAACTAAAAGCAGGTCAGTGGTAACTTCATTCTTTAAAATAAAAAAGAAGAAAGGAACCTTAAGTCCACTTAATTATTTGTTATGTTTTTTTTTTGTAGCCTAATGGCTTTCTACAAATGTAACTAATTTTTAAGAGGAAAGAGCGTGCCGAGTTTGCCCACCCTAAAAAAAAAGGTTGGATCCGCCCCTATATATATATATTCATTGTTGTGAAAATCATACCGTACAACGAATCGGAAAAAAGAGAGCTTCACGATTCGACTGTTGAACATGGATCAAACTAGATGATATAATAAAAATTATTATTATTAAAAATTAATATAATGAGCTTCACCTCCACTATCATTAAACATCCTATGGCTCTTATGGATTTTATTGAAACTTGTTACCTTCACTCTAAATTCCATTTTCATATCATAACACCTAAATATTTCAAAAACATTTTGTTTGCATTTCTTCCAATTTGCTAGAATTTAAGAAAACGTTTTGCATAAAAAAATTTAAAATAATGGACCTTCATTATTTTAGCATTCATTAAGATGATGTGAACTCAAAATAAACTAATATTGACATCTACAAAGCCTAAAAGATTGAGTTTCTTCAATAATAATGTAGTTTCATATAAGGTGGGCATCAACTAAGTCTACAAACACTACTAGGAAGTTAGATTTTCCGCACCACTTGTTAGGAGCGGTTTTAGAACCGCTTCTAAAAGTCTCTTTTAGCACCGGTTTTAATCGGTGCAAATGGCACCGGTTTTAACCGATGCAAATCCTCTTTTAATTTTCGCATAAAGCCCTAATTCCATCGGCGCGAAACTAATTCTCCGCTAAAGCCCTAATTCTGCGATCCTCCTGCGCGCGACTCAAGTAGAGCATTCCAGGTTTGTCTCCGCCGATCCCTCTTCTCCTTCTGCGAGCGACTCAAGCTGGGGTTCGTCTCCGATCTCTCTTCTTCCTCCTGCGCGCGACTCAAGCTGATCTCGAAGAGGATCAAACTCTCGGTATTCTCCTCACGCAACTGTGTCTCGGATCACAAAAAAAAAAAGTTTTTCTTTGAAGACGAGCTAAATAAGAATGACAGAGTAACCTTTTTGGAAGATGAAACCTTTAGTGCTTGATTGTGATTAGATAGTGAGTGATATGTTTAGAATGCCGAATATACAAAGAGAATAAATAATGCTAAAGAACAAAAGTGGATGCACGGATGACAAGTAATTTGGCTCCCGAGTAATTTGAACTCCTACAAATTCAAGGTTTGGAGAAATTATTAAAATTTTGACCCGGGTTCGGGTTGACCCGGAAACCCAAAATCAACACGATTTGACTCGAAAATATCCCATCAGTCGTCATCAGCGTCACTCGTAAGCCGCGACGCGCGTCAGTGCATCACGTCATCTAGTCACTCATTCCGTCGCATTCAGTCCGTCAGACTGTCTGCGTGGCCTGTCCCGTCGCATTCAGTCCACCACACCTTTTAACTGCAGCTCTGCGGGATCGCCAGACGCAAGCTCCACGGGACCACCAATTGCCTGCTCCGCGGGACCGCCAAACTCCAGGAGAGGGAGCTCACTGGGAGGGACTGACCGGAAACCTTGGGTCCTCGCATGGACGTTTGACCCAAATCAAAGAGGGAGCTCACTGCAACCTAAGAGTAACAGTCAAGTTTTGGAGAAATTATTAAATATTTTAAAATTTAAAATTTCGTTAATGTAAACAAAATTTTTTATTCAACTTAAATTTTTTAAAAATTATATATTAAGACCAATTACAAAGGTGAATGAACTAACATCTCTTCCACAATTTGATAAATCTATTATTTACATGGAAATTAGTAATTTTGGTGAAATATGTATAAAAGGGTTTATAGAGAAATTTCTCTTTAATCAAAAGCTTAAATTTGAGGCAATGTCAATTATAAAGAAATTAATATGTGTAATTAATAATCTGTTGGATAATTAAATTTTTTGGAAGGTGATTGTAAAAATATTATGAGAAAAATAATTAATTAATTATTTTCAAGATGTTACTCTAAAAAATAATCTTTTTAATGAAAATAAAACAAAACTAATAATGAAATAGAAACTGCCATTCTGTCCGAAAAAAAAAAGTACAGAAAAAATTTGCCACGTACCCTAAATTTCTAGAAAGCAAATAAAAAACAACTAATTTCAAGTCATGAACGTCAAAATACACAGATCTCGGCAACTTCCATGATTCTAAAAACAGCCCACATGATGAATGGGGGAAAATCATTTGGGCAATGATTCTGATGTAGAACGGATGGTCAAGGGATTGCCGGCAGCGTTGCCGGCCTGCAAATTTGATGGTCCGGCGACTCCGGCGCCTTAATCTCTAGCGCATTCTTAAGCCTCTGTCTTAAGTTTAAGAGATTCGCTGTCAATTGAAGGCCTCCTTCGAAAGTTAAGAGCGAAACGGCCGGTCTTATCTCTGGTGAGTTTATCGCTTGTAAGTTCAGTGCCCGGTCTACAACTGCAAAGGCGTCCACAGGCGAATTACGAAAGTTAAGAAAATGGTCCGCTACACTAAACTCAAATGCTAACCGATGCAGATTCATCGAATCTAGATTGGTCACCATCCCCCAAGCTTCAGCATAGGCAGAATTAGCGATTGCCTCATCTCCCATTCCGTCCAACGCTCCCTTAACCTCTGCCATATACCAGCTGACATCTCCCTTTAGGGTTAGGTAAAAGACCTTCGATTCATTCGAAACAGTGGTGGGTAATAAACGGCAATCGATTAGCTGAACAATTTCTGCGCAGGCTCTGCAGATCTCCATCTTGGATGTGAGTAGATAGGAGGCGGCGATGGGACCGGTGAAGTTATCAAGCCAGGAACTTGTTTTAGCAGCGGTTGAGAGATGCGAGTGGCGGGGTACTCCGAGGAAGTTCTTGAATGCAGCGCCGAGGAGGCAGCGTTCCTTTGGGGAGAGGTCTTTGTCTGGGTCGGTTGCTTCGACGATTTCTTTCATGAATCGGAGCATGTGATCGTAGCGCTTGGCTTCTGCGGCGAGCTTAGCCATGCGGAAGAGGATCTTTCTCCTCGTTTTGGCCGCTGATAGAAGCATTGTCGAGTGTTTTGTCGCCAGAACAGACAAAGTTGTAGCGGAGAAACTTTTATAACTTTCAGTTTTTTTTTTAATTTAATTTTTAGAAACTTTTTTAACTTTCTCTTAGAGGGAGCGCCATCGTTTTAAGAAAAATTAACAATAAATTGGAGTTTGTTTTTTCGTAGCTTTTTTATTCATTTATTTTTAAGATCATTATTTTGTCAGTTGACAGTTATTTTTAATAATTTTTTTAAAATTTCATAATAAAAAAAGACTGCAGTTGTTTGATTTTTTTTTTTAAATTTATGATACAACAATTTTGAATAAAATTAGGCTTCATTTGATACAACTTTTTTTACTTATTTATTTATTTATTCATTAGAACGAGGGTATCAAACCGTTGTCACTCCAAGGGATAGCTTGACGGCGTAAATAATCTCTCGACAGAATCTAGCGAGTCCACCCACCATAACGGGCTCATACTTGCTTTGTCCAACTCAAGAGGCGAGGTTGTAGCAGAGGGGATTCGAATCAAGGATTGGGGATTCCAAACTGTGCTCGCCCACCAACCATCCTATACCTCGGTGGGTAGTTTGAGAAAACTTTTCTATCACTTTCTGAATCTATTTTTTAATATAGATAATTTTTAGCTCAACCAAAAAAAGGTGACATTAAGGAGTGAATGTATTATAAAGAATTCATTAACAATATTATCATAAGCTATATATATATATTCATTGTTGTGAAAATCATACCGTACAACGAATAGGAAAAATAAGAGCTTCATGATTCGACTGTTAATTAAACCTGGATCAAACTAGATGATATAATAAAAATTATTATTATTTAAAATTAATAAAATGTGCTTCACCTCCACTATCATTAAACATCCTATGGCTCTTATGGATTTTGTTGAAACTTGTTACCTTCACTCTAAATTCCATTTTCATATCAAAACACTTAAATATTTCAAAAACATTATGTTTGCATTTCTTCCAATTTGCTTGAATTTAAGAAAAAAGTTTTGCATAAAAAAATTTAAAATAATGGACCTTCATTATTTTAGCATTCATTAAGAATATGTGAACTCAAAATAAACTAATTTTGTAACACAAAAAAGTTGTATTGACCTCTACAAAAGCCTAAAAGATACTTTCTTCAATAATAACATAGTTTCATATAAGGTGGGCATCAACTAAGTCTACAATTAAAATATAAATAAAATGCACATAACACAAATGTGACATTAATTAAATTTGTAAAATATATAAAAAAATATTTAACAAATAACTAAAGTATGATTTATAATTAGTCTAATAAATAGAGAGTAACTGTAACAACAACAACAACACCAAATGACACACCTTGGCTCTAGTTTCCCGCACAAGGTGGTCCAACCACCCCGCGTCTCCCGGTTACCGAAAAAGATGACCAAACAACATTACATACGGGGAGGAATGCATACCTATTGGCCAACCTCTATTGTGCGTTGTGTGATGAGCAAGTCATACAATCTTCAGTTCTCTTTCTCGTTGAGCTCACGAACGCAATAGGAATGGCGAGCAGAGAAGGAACCCGAGCAAGCCTTCATTCGAACTTCGAACGAATGAAATAAAGGTTGGATTTACAGTAAATATGTATTTAATTTTTTTTAGGCTTATCTGGATTTTGCATTCATCATCCGATGGTTCAAATTATTCCATGATCAAATCGAGCAGTTTTGCAAAAATAATGGCTGTTTGACTGTTCATTCGTTAGTTCGAGAGGTTCTTGTCCGATTAGATGCTATTTCAACTTTATGTGTAGATCAAACTAGCCGACGACTAGTTCCAAATTCAACTGGTTGAACAACCGATATGGTCCAATTTTATAATAAAAACAATAATAAAACTGTGATAGTTTGATTTAAAAAAAAAATTATGATAAAAATATTTTGATTAAAATTAGGCTTTATTTCAGAGAACTTTTTTATCACTTCCTGAAGAAATATTTTAATATAAAAAATTTTAGTTCAAGAAGAAATTTGGCTTTAAAGAGTGGAGGTATTATAAGGAATTAATTGACAATCTTATCATAAGCTAGTTATATTATATTCTTGTTTGAGAAGTTTGAATATTTTTTTTATTCATGCCTTTCTTATCTAATTATATGTATACTTTTGAATGCTATAAAATATATCATAAGATAAGTTTTGATTACACCTTTGTATTTTTTATCATTAAGAGTTTTGAAATTAAAACAATGAAATATATTTAAGTGTCTCTCAAATATAAAAGCTTACTTAAGAAAATGAAATTTATTTAGTAGATTTTTTTTTTCATGTACTTTTAAATGCTATAAAACAACCCCATCGACATCTTTATCCCAGAATCATCCAACATGCATAAAGTCTTCTAGAGGTGGCCCCTATAAATTCAAGTGGTGACTACAGTCATATAGCACTATGTCTAATATAGCATTCAAGAAGTGGCTCCCATGGTATAAAATATTATATTATATGGCACTTAGTTCCCATATTTTGACTAGTGTATTACCTTGACACCATTTATAATAGTCCAAACTTTTAAATATCAAGATGATAGTTCACTTTGGCCAAATAGCCTTATGATTTTGTTATGTTGGTGTAACTTTCAAGTAGGCCACCTATCTTAAAAATACTCCAGGTTGAGCATGCTCAATTGTGAAGTATCTTTAATGTAATTCTAACCATTACACCAAAATGAACCTCAATGTTTAAGAGTTTAGATTCTTTTACTTAAGGGGTTTCACTTGATGTCCACTATGTTATAGAAAGTGCACTATTTTATTCAATATCTTTGTGAGATGGCAATGTGCTTAAGTATATAAAAGGATCTTGCTGTACATAAGTTGATGGTCTTGGATTCCTAAATTTAAAAGGGTGCGATTATACAATAATACTATCTTCCTTAACTGTATCTCCACACATATCACCAATAATATTCATCTTCTATTAAACATTATTAAATGGGTCTTACATCTTATTTATGACTATAATGTCTCCTTGGAGAATAGAAAGTAATGGTGCAAGATCAAGAAGAAGAAGAAGAATAAGAATAAGAAGAAGAAGAAAGAAAGAAAGAAAGAAGGTAAGAAAAATTAGTAGTAAATTACATAAAACTGGTGATAATTAATTTAAGGATTTAACTACATACAAACATTATTTCTCTAGGTGCTCGAGGATACTAAATTATTGGTGGCTCTATATGGGCCTAAAGTAAGTATATAGAAGCCCATCATTCATACCAACACAAGTATCATATGAGAAAGTGGTCATTATCCTCATATATTTTTCCATGTGAGATGAATAATGCATGTATGTTCTTATATATATATATATATGTATGTGTGTGTGTGTGTGTGTGTGTGGGTATGGTGATATTTTACGCAATTCATAACTATTTTACCCCTATTTTATACACTCTTAAACATAAGCTCCAAGTCAATATGTTGTATACCACCAAAATATATCATCACACAATTATGTAGGTGCTATACATTCCAAAGTACAAAAAAGTAGTTATAATCAAACATTCGAAGCAGTTATAAATGAAAATAAAAATGCTTAAAACAGCCACACTTGACCATGTTCTTATTTATTTGGGGGCTAAGTAGTTGAAACAATTGTAGCAATTATATTATTTATTTATTTTTTGCCCCATTTTTGCTTTGTAAGAATATGACCACCTGCAAAAAATATTGATGTAGTGGAACGTCGGAAGAATTGATTTGCAAGAAGGATTTGAATCCCAATCCAGGGAAAATGGCAAACACAAAGCTTCAAAGCTTTAAGAGAGTAATATTTTCATTCAATGCCTTTCTCCTCTTACACATTCCCTATATATAATGCAAAAGCAAGGAAAACCTAGAGAATCCTAGAATATTCTAGAGAACTTGTAATAACTAAATAAAATAACCTAAGGAATATTATAAGCTAAAAATGCTCCGCATCATTCTCCCCTAGCGTAAAAAAGGCTAGACTCCGTCGAGACGCATTATTGAAAAAGAGATTGTTGCAGAAGACAGATTCCCGGATCGAAGATCTTGTTCTCAATATTTCCAAAATTAACAACTTTTCTCTCCATTGAAGCCTAGGGTACCACAGTATCACCTTTGTCTAAAATTTTTCTCCCATCTTGCAATGACTCCATCATGTTACCTCGCACGGGTTTCACCATATCAAAACAGCAAGCCTCAAGAGACTCAATTATTTGAGAAGTCCTAGTGGTAGTCAAATGACCTGAATAAGAGGCAAGTATAACCAAATGCATCTGCACGCAAACTTACAGTGACCCAATCACTATACTCAATGACATTCATGAAAGTTGAGAACAGTTGGCATTCCACTGACAATCTCTTCATGATAAGTCGTGCCAGCCAAATAGTCACTGTAGTTTCACAATAAACGCTACCTCAAAGAGGAGTATGAACGCTTCTTAACCTGAATAGTCCCACTTCATGCAGCCCCACAATGCTTGCAGTCTTCGCTATCTAATGAAAGTGCTGCATCACCAACGATAGCCAATGGATCTTCCCACAGAAGGTCAGCCTCAACAAAGAGTTTTATCCACTTTGGAGTCATAAATAATGATCTTCCAATTTTTCTACGTTTCCAGAGACCTTGCTTGAGATTGACTGTGTCGAACTAGCTGGAGTATCAAGGGACTGCATAGCCACGATGAGTATACATAAGGAGGCAACCTCTCTCAGGTTGTTACTATGAGTGGGAGTGAGGTAGTGTTCAAGGATTCGTATTCTGGTGATCTCCTCGTTGGGATCTTCTTCCAAGAGAGATTGTTTCGCGACTTGAGGTTGTTAAAGTGAGGAGTCTGCACTTGCTGAGCTCCGGGGCAATGGAACCGGAGAACAGTTTTCCTGAAATCCATCTTGGATAGTTTCTCCACCGGCCGATTTCCGGCGAGACTGCTGCCTGAAAAGAGGTTTTGGTTGATTAGAAGCTTCTGGACAACCATAGAATTGCCCTGATTTGAAGACGGAAGACGACCG